TTAAGCATTTTTTTTTTAATTTCTTTTTTAATTATATGTAAAAGTAGAGTCAATTGTGACGTTTATATCAGGGAGTATATCGTATTCTAACTAGGATCTCAGTCTTGTGGATGTACATGATGTAGAGATTCATTGTGGTATATTCATGTATGTACATAGGAAAGTTATGTCTGATTCATTCCACTGTTTTTCCTATTCCTAGCCTCCCTCCCAAGATTCTCACATCTCTGCTATGGCAAGTAAATTATGTTTTCTTTAGTGTCTCTGACTGTAAATATAATTTCCCCCACTTTGTTCATCTCATTTATATTGAAAAAAGCACTTTGAGTTTGAGCAGGTGTGTGTGTGTGTGTGTGTGTGTGTGTGTGTCTGTAAGTATGTGTGTATTCTAAATTATATTTGAGGGGAATTCAAAGAGTTAAAAGAGATGTTAGTTACTATTATTAGTATTATTTATTCATCTGGTCTGGCATGCATTTCTGGGTCTACAAAAATGCTGACATTGTTTTTTAGTCTTGTCCTTCAGGTGAGGTTTAGTAAATTGACATTCACCTCCAGATTCTTTAGCAAACATGTTTTAAATAAAAACACTTGCTTAGAGTATTTGTCATCTGCTCCTGTCTGTATCTTCTGAACAAAACCTGCTGGTTTTAGAAATGAAGTTGTACACTGTGGCATTTTACAATTTGCTTAGTAATTAAATCTCTCTTGACCTCGGGAAGAAAAATGATTTTGTTTTTGGTTTTGTTTAAGCAGACGTCTGTTTAAGAGAGAGCACATAGTGCAAACCTAATCATAATTAGAAGAACAAGGTTTTGGGGGGCTATTTTGTTTAAAAGCAGTGCGACATCATGTTAAATAGCATCCATTGAGAATGGGAGAGAGAACCACAGAGAAGATTTACTGTGGAAGGGCTAGATTATCTAAGGAACTTTGAAGGACCAGTTTTAGTTTATTTAATAGAGTATACACTAGTCAGTTTCTGTTACCATCATCTTTACTTCTAAAGCAGTTCAGAAGACACGGGTAATTTTCTGAAGAAAAACTGGCTTTATTATTGCAGAAGGCATAGGTATGAAACCAAAGAGCAAATCAAGCATTCATAGGTTTCGTTAGGAGAAAATGTACAGCTGCTCTTTTCCTGTTTGAGTAGCACTGATTTTCACATAGGAGAGCACTGCATTGAATTAAGGTCCCTGTAAACTGCAATGTTAACTATAAAATTTAGAGTGCTTTGATTTTTTCCCTCACTTTTACATAACTTTGCAGTTTACTTTTCGAATGGAGTTTGATCTTTTTTACTGTGGAAACATGAACTCTAAAAAATTACATTTTCTATACGGGAAAAAAGCTTCCAAAGTAGTTTTGATAAAAGTCCCTCCTGGTCATCTATTCATTCTAATGGTGTATTTCTTTTCAGGTTGACACAACTTATATAAAAGTAAAACATCTGAAAGAAGTTTTTAAACCATGAACTGCACCTTTTAGGGACACATTGGCATATTTTATTCAACTTTAAGGTTTCTATTGAATATTCTATTTGAATATTTGTTTATCCCTGATTCCATATGAATCAGCTATGTGGTCCTACCCTCTGATGAGTCTTCAAGACATATTTACTTGGATCAATTACATGAACTTAAAACTCTCCCCAAATTGTTCTTCAGTTCTGTTGATGTTTCCAGGATTCTCTTATCACCTAGATTGAAAATCCAAAAATTAATCCTAATTTCTCTCTCACTTTCATCCTTTATGTCCAATCTGTCACCAAGTCTTTGGTTTCTTTATTTGAATGATTCTTGATGGATATGGTCTCTTCCTGTCACTAAAATCCATTCTTCTTGAGCTTCAGCTGAAGGGGCTGTGAAACCTAACATAGTTGATTTCTGGACTTCGGAGGCAGGGGCCTTGGAGAGTAGGAGCAGCAAGGAAAGAATATACTGTATTCCCTCTCAAGTACAGGGTCATCTGGCCCTAGGGAGGACTTGTAGTGATTTTAATTTATAACATTGGTCTTTGGCATTTGTTTTCTGTTACATATCTTCCACATCCAAGGGTCCCTCTTTCCAGCCTCTTAGAGCTACCCCAAATGAAATAATGTATTAATTCAACAATTACATCATTTACCTACTAAAATGACAATAGTTATTTTTTACTGGACACCTTCACCCATGATACTTCTAGTCCTTAAAACAATTTGACATGATACGTTCAGGTCACCTCCATGTAGTAGATGAATATATTGAGTCAGGGTGGAATTTAAGTGTGTTCCACTATTGATTTGTGGACACCGGACTTGCAAATAACCTGGGTTCTCTCTATATTTTGTATATGGAGATTGTCTGACTTGGTTATTTACACATATAAATAACATATGGGTAAATCATTTAGAATAAGTGCCATGTGAGTGTTAGAGAAGCATACAGGTAGCCCCTGTCTTTTTACCCCTTCATCTCATTGGCCCTGACACACACAAGCCTCACAACAGCATGGTTTGTGCTTTTGAAGACCACACAGATTGAAAGTAGAAGGAAAGAAGCTGTAAGAGACCATGAGAGTTTCTGGGACATTTCAATCCTCCTGCCCTTCAGTGTTTATCTAAAAAACCCTTCCCCTCAGATGAGTGCTTTTTCCTAACAGGATTATACAGTTCCTTCAGTGAGAGATTTGGCGAAAGAAGCATCTTTATGCTGAAATGCAAAAACAGAATCCTCTGAAGGATTCAGGGCTTCTCGATTATTCACACACCATTGACAGCTAGTTCAATGATTATTTTCTTCTTAGTCACACTAAGGGGCTTCCTGATGGCAGTGAGTTCAAAGGGAATCAGCCATTTTGAAAGCCGGGGCCATGTCCATCATTTGGATCTGTCTGCATAGTGTAGAAGCCACCAGCCACATGTGGTTAAGATAAGCTATCAACCATCAGAGTGAATTACTAATAACCAAAATCTAGAAATTGAGCTTTGAACTTATTCTCTTATCCACTATGCTGAAGGTCATTGTAAAAGAACACTTTGGCTGTACATATATGTGTTTTTCACTTTTTTCTAGAGCAGAATAATTGTCTAGAGTTCATTTATCGTGGTTTTGAGGTATCAAGGTGCTGGCCTATTTCTTTCTCTCAGGAAAGTAGTCTAGTTATGTACAGCCTGCATTTTTTATTAGACTGCAATGTGTGAGCAGTTAATTATTTATAGTTCTTGCTGAAGCTGATGTGGTGGTACTTGACTCACTGAGTTTATAAAGAAATAATGGCTTGCTGGAATACTCTAAAATGAAAGTAGATTAGAAGTTGACCTGTATTTTAAGGCTTCACAGGTTGGAGATTGTCTAACAGTTATGGTATGTTGTCAGAATCTCCAAGACTATATAAGAAAAGAGAAGCATAACTTCATGAAGAGGGATACTGGATTTAGTACCATTAAACTGGGTAAATCGGCCTGTCCGTTCATTTTTATTTCCTTTTTACATAGGATAGCTTGCCTACCAATCCAAATTATTTTTAATTCATGAGAGAGTACTAAAAGTATGAAGTCAACTTGGTGTCAGAATTGTTCAAATAAATAGATTTGCAAGTATAGTAACCCTATCAATGGAAATAGGTCCTCTTCACCTACAGTGTTTCTAAAATGGGTGGGGAAATGGGTCACATAGGGAAACCTGCTGTCCCTTTTCCTCTTCTTAGTCTCAGTATCCAAGATTGTTAGTTGTAATGTAAATATTGCACCCAAAGGCTAACTGTTAAATGGGAGCTCCTGCTAATTCCCAAGATTCAATTAGGTTTGGCTTTAAATGAAGTAAAAATACATCAAAGATGTCAACAAGTACTAAGGATACTGAATAAATGTTAGTCCACAAATGCATTAGTGGATTACATGGTTCTAAAAGGGATAGAGAAAAGAGAACCATATGCCTTCTATGTAAAGCTAGTAGGCTTTGGGTGACATGGTGTGAGTCCATTGACATATAGGGAAAGCACTGGGAGCCAGAATTTTGAATGTGCTGGATGAAAGTACATGTCTTGGACAGTGACAACAAGAGGTATCTAAGTCCCAACAAGAATGCCTAACAGGGAGGTCTCTGATCCTTTAGAGGGAGGCCAAATGGGAACCAATGGAAACAGCTTATCATATTCAGGTGGTGGAAATGTATAACCCAAAGAATCAAGATAGCAAGAGGCAGCCTCGAAAAGCAGACTCGAGATATAAGTTAAGGCCATGGAATGTCTAGGAGAAAGATGCTCACCATTCCATCATTTGTTCATTTAACAGATGTTTTTCAGCACCTACTGTGTGCCAAGCATCATAGTGTGCACATACATACACAAATAAATTGCTTCTTTCCTGAAGTTTACATTCTTGTTGGGGGAAGGAGATAATAGTCAACTAAGTCAGTCACATGATGCATTGCTACTGAGAAAAATCGAGAGGGTTAAGTCTGGGGTGTTATAGGTTTAAATATCATGCTTCTGTGTTTAAGTGAAGAGGTGGCATCTAAGCAAGCTCCTAAAAACAATTTCAGTGGGTTACACTCATGCTAAGGAAACTGAGCAAGTGCACTTGTACTCAGTGGTATGTCAACTGTATTTTGCATGTGTCAGAAATTTCTGTCTTGCTGTTTTAAAATTTAATTGCAGCAGAAAATAAATAACGTGCGTGTGGGAGCTGGAAAATGAGAACAGGATGCCATTCTGCAGGTGGAGTGTTCGAGAAAGGATAGACCTAAAAGAAGTGGTAAAGAAATCCCTTCCTCCTTAACTGCTGGGAGGAAGCTGTGCTAAGTGAAATCCAGGGCCACAGGTGTGTGGTAGCCTTTGCTGCCATGTGGCCTCAGTCTATGAAAGTTATTTCGACAGTAGAATAATAGGTTTTATTTTGACAGCAGAAGATTATTCTATGCTCAGATTTTAGTAAATATTCTTCAAGGCTTTTATGTCTGGGAAGCTTAAACCTAATTCTTTACATGGTAGCACTAATGTTTTATGCTTGTCTATTGCAGCTTTGTAGGGAGCCAACCTCAGAGAGACAGACGGGATGGCTAGCTCAGCCCGGGAGCATCTGCTTTTTGTGCGGCGTCGAAATCCCCAGATGCGGTACACACTGAGCCCAGAGAACCTGCAGAGCCTTGCTGCGCAGAGCTCCATGCCCGAGAACATGACCCTACAACGAGCCAATAGCGACACGGACCTGGTGACTTCCGAGAGCCGCTCCAGCTTGACTGCCAGCATGTACGAGTACACACTGGGGCAAGCCCAGAACCTCATTATCTTCTGGGACATTAAAGAGGAGGTGGACCCCAGCGATTGGATTGGACTTTATCATATAGGTGAGTACAAGGAAATGGACATGTGTGTGGTTCTGAGCATGTTTTTTTTTTTTTTTTTTCTCTCTGTCATTATACTATTCTGTATTTTCTCCTGGAAGAAAATTCACACACACAAATAGACACAGCACATTCTGGGAACATTCCTTCTTCAGGAGGAGAGTCAATAGTACTTTTGCTTATATAAATTTTGTGGTTACATTTCTACCAAATTAAATGCCAGAACCTGCAGATGTTATAGAATTTTCCTTTTAAAACTTCCCATTGCCCTTGATCAGTGAGTAGTCCTAGTAAAGAGGTGATTATTAATGTTTATTAACACTTTTAAACTGACAGATGCCTACCTTTAGATAACTGATATGAAAAATGTCTTGCATTTTCTAAAGGTTGGATTTCATTAAGAACAATCTGTGGTCTAAGGTGTCTATGTATTTCAAAATTCCTTGAATGTATCTCAGATCAATTAGGTGAAAAAAGTATCCTGATGAATGACTGAGAAATAAATAGCTGCTGTTTGTTTTAATAATAGCAGTCACAGCTCTGTGTAGCTAATTTGTACCTGTTATTCATAGATGAATGACTGATGAATGAAGCATCCCAGTAAGCAAAAAGTCTGCTTGGTTTGGAAGCAAAAATCAAAACCTCCTAACTAACCAGAAAGAAAATCTAAATTCAACCCAATAATAAAATAAAATCTATATTCCTCAAAGTTGGAGAACTTGTTCTATGAATGAAGGAAATTCATTTCAAAGTTAACATCAGATCATTTATTAGAAAGAGATTGTTGCTTTTGATGTAAATTATAAGCCAGTCATCTTTCTTTTGTTTTCTTAAAAAATTCTTTTTTAGCTGTAGATAGACACAATACCCTCATTTTATCTATTTTTATGTGGTGCCGATGATCCAACCCAGTGCCTCACATATGCTGGGTGAGCACTCCATCACTGAGCCACAACCCTGTCCCCTCCTTTTTCTTTTAATTAATATATTAGGGGGAAAAACTGTTTCTTAAACATAGCTAAGTTCTTCTCAGACAGGGACAATTTTGCCCCCTAGAGGACATTGGCAGTATCCAGAGACATTTTTGGTTGCCACAGCGGGGTGGGGGGATGCAAGACCCCAGGTGCTGCTAAACATCCTTTAATGGACAGGAGAGTCCCTTACAACAAAGATTTATCTGGCCTCAAATATCAGTAGAGCCACTGTTGAGAAACTCTGGTTTGATGAAAAATAACCTTGCTAAAAAGTTTTTTAAATGTTATATGCACCAAAATTTGTTTTTCTGAATTGAGAATTTTTATGTTGGTTAAAATAAAAAAAGGGTTTATATTTACTTATATAACTCTTAATGATTAACCATGATGAATAATATGAATTCTAAATGGTAAAAAAATGGATGAATTATCATCTTTTTTTCTCTTTTGACAATAAGAAAGGGGGAAATCTTCACTGTTCAGTATTTTCCACAGTTGCATTTAACAATATATCCAAAGTGAGAAAGATACATGATTTAAAAATTATATTTGTATTATCATGATCACAAAAAGTTTACAGTTCTTATGGGATTTTGAAGTAATTCCTTTAGTTTTGATGTCATTGTACTCTTTGGGCTTCATAAAATTTATTTTTTCACGTAGTTTTTTGTTTACTTTTTAAAAATTTTTCCCATTTTATATTTTATGACATAAAAATTTTAATATAAGACTACAAATAGTGTTGTATTTTTAAAAATACATTATATATATATTTTTGGTAAATAATCAATTTTAACTTTTCTTTCATAATTTCTTGTCTGTGTTAATAACCTTATCTGTAAATGCTAGAATCAATTAAGATATGGGCTCACATTACTTCATATTTTTTCCTGTGTCTTCTTTTTAATTCCCCACCCAACTTGTTGTATTTTCCTGTCTGAATTAATCAGGGAGGAGCTAAAGCATCCAAAGTACAATTTGTCTTATCTCTAAGTAACCATGGCCACAAAATCTTAAGAGTTCTTGTATTTTACTTCCCAGAGGAAGACGTATAGGTCAGGGTTGTAAGTCTCAAATTAACCCAAAGATATAGACAAGAAAGCAGAATTAAGAAATAAATCTCTGGGTTGGGATGTAGCTCAGTGGCAAAGAATCTGCCTTGCATTCGCAAAGCCCTAGGTTCAACCCCCAGTTCCAAAAAAGGCAAAAAAAAAAAAAAGGAAATCTCCAAGTACTAACTCTTCCTCAGTTTATTTCAAGAGACTTCTGCATTTCACATAAATCATCACTATATGTGCCCCTGTATGTAACATGTCCCTGCCCTTGGCTATATTCAAGATTTTCTCTTTATCTCCATTTTCAGTACTTTGAAGATATACTTAGGCATGGTTTTCTTTTTATTTACCTTGATTGGATTTCTCTGAGCTTATTATAAGTTAATGCTTTTGTTGAATTTTGGGAACATTTGGTCATTATTTCTTCAATTTTTTTCTATCCATTTTCACATTTCTGAGACTACAATTATAACTATATTCCATCATTTTATGTTTTTCTACAAGGACCGATGAGGCTCTACTTCATTATCCTTCAATTAATTTTTGCTTTGATATTCAAATTTCATAATTTCTGATAATCTCTCTTCAAGTTTGTTTTTCCTTTTTCATCTTCATTCTGTTATCAGTCTCATGGGTTTTTAAATTTTAGTTATTTAGCTTTTCATTTGTAGAAATTACATTTTTTTGTATAGTTTTTATTTCTTTTACATGCTAAATCATCCAGTTCATATTTTTGTTCAGTTCTTTGAATTCAATTGGATATAGCTGCTTTAAAGTCTCTGTTTTCTAAATTTCAAAATCTGGGCCATCTCAGGGTCAGATTCTGTTGATATTTCCCCCATTTTTGTCTTTGTTTGCACATCTAACTGTCTGTAATTTTACTCTGGACATCTATCTTTAATTTTTCACTGTGTTGTAAAAATTCTGAGTCCTGTGGAATAATATTATTAGTAGGCAGATTTATTTCCTTGTGCTTGAGTAGGTGTGTGTTTACACCTTGTTGGGAAGCATCTGTGGAAAGTCTATTGTAGTTTCCCAGCATTTCCAGCTTGGTGGAAGGCAGCCTCCAAATTTGTTGTACCCTATGGATTTTGTTAGGTCTTGATTTGGGGCTTTGTTAAGACAGGTTTAGAATAAGCTTTACCAAGACTTTCTACAAAGCCTCAGTAGTTTCTTTTTGAGTGTGTGCAGTCCACACCATAGCCAAAGATCTATAGGGGATCCCCATGTAGACTTTTTGAAATTTACCTCTTCATAACTCTTTCCTTTCTAGTATTGAGGCCTGGAGATTCTAGTCTCTTTAGTTGACTCAAACTCTGATCTCTGCCTCCACACTTTGAAGAATTGCCATGGACTCTAGCTACCTGAAATGCACTCAGGAAATTGTCTGCTGGCTGAGATATGGGTGATCAGGAAGTCATCTCATCCGTTTCTCTTTTCTTGTGGATTGCAGTCTTACGCCACCAGATATCCAGTTCCTGGTATTTGGGGGATTACATTGGGAAGGCTGATTTGTTGCTGATCACTTCCTTATGACTTGAAGCAAAAGTTATTTCCATAGTTTTGATTTAAATGGAAAGAGTTAAGAGATCCCACTTCATTTTCCTATCTAGCTATTTCTGGAGAACTCTGATTGTCTGAGTTCTCTATGTTTGTCAGTTCTTCTCACCATATTTTCTTAAATACTTAAATCCCTAGCCAGGAGAGTGAGGAGCTGGCATCCCAGATGTCTCAAGGGTCTAGGACTGACACAGAGACCAGCATTTGCAGATAAAAGTAGTATGTTGGTAGTCTTAGGCGCATGATGTTCTTGAGTAAGCCATTGGTCTTAACAGATCTTTTACAATGAATGGCTTTAAAAGGTGCAGGTCCTTGTATAGCTTTAAATATAACTTGTTTCTGTAATTATAGGGTCAGAGTAGTGTATAAAAGAAAGACTTATTAATCTGGGTCCTCAACTGAGTGAATGCATATCTGCCCTTAATAGAGACATCCATGTTCTTCCTGGAGCTAGAATGGATGGATGGGCTCTTTTAACGACTGAATTGGAGAGATAGCCTTATTTCAATTGGAACTTCATCATCCTTTGTGGAGAGGAATGTGGCAGAACTGTGGTCTCTAACTGACAGCCATTTACTGTTCTTATCTCCCTGCAATCAGAACTTTGATTTCAGGGTAGCGCCCACCCCCAGGCTCAGAAAAGGTCTAAATCTGAATGGTAATCCAGCTAGGAGTAGACATGTGACGTAGTCCTGGTCAGTGAGATATAAGGGGAAGGCACTGGCCCAACTTCTCTTCCCAATGGAAATCCCCAGCTTTGTGAAGGGTTTTTTAAAGTTCTTCTCTTGTACTTGGGACTGTAATGAAAATATATGATGTCCTGTGTTGCTGCATCCATCCAGCAACAACGAGGTATCAGTATGGAGGATATAAAGCTAAGGATGGTATGTTAATCAGCTTTTCATTGCTGTGACCAAAATACTTGACAAGGACAACTTAGAAGAGGAAAAGTTTATTTTGGCTTATGGTTTCAGAGGTTTAGTCCATGGTGGGCTGACTCCATTGCTCTGGGTCTAAGGTAAGGCAGAACGTCATGTCAGAAGGGCATGGCAGAGGAGTGCTACTCTGATCATATCAGTTTGGAAACAGTGAGAGAAGGGGCCTTAGAGAAGATGAACCCTTCCAGGGCATGTCCCCAATGACCACCTCCTCTAGCCATGCTCACTTGCTTAGAGTTACTTCCCAGTTAGTCCATTCAAACTGAGATGGTCTGATTTGGCTACAGCTTTCATAATGTAATCATTTCACGTCCTACATTAACACAGGAGCTTTTGGGGAACACCTCACATCCAAACCATAACAGAGGGTAGAGCAGCAAGATAGAGCTTAGACTGGAACTCTGATGTTCATGTTATATATGTAAGAAACATTCCTCTCATTGTTTCAGTCACTGTTAGGAAGACTTTATGTACCA